AACTGAAGTGTTTATATTACATATGTCTAGCCTACTGAACTGAAGTGTTTATATTACATATGTCTAGCCTACTGAACTAAACTGAAATGTTTGTACTGCACGTGTCTAGCTTATTGGACTAAAATGTTTATATTACATGTGTCTAGCCTACTGAACTAAACTGAAATGTTTGTATTGCATGTGTCTAGCTTATTGGACTAAAATGTTTATAGTACATGTGTCTAGCCTACTGAACTGAAATATTTACATTACATGTGTCTAGCCTACTGAACTGAAATGCTTATATTACATGTGTCTAGCCTACTGAACTGAAATGTTTATATTACATGTGCTAGCCTACTGAACTGAAGTGTTTATATTACATGTGCCTAGCCTACTGAACTGAAGTGTCTATATTACATATGTTTAGCCTACTGAACTGAAGTGTTTATATTACATATGTCTAGCCGACTGAAGTGTTTATATTACATATGTCTAGCCTACTGAACTGAAGTGTTTATATTACATGTCTAGTCGACTGAACTGAAGTGTTTATATTACATATGTTTAGTCTACTGAACTGAAGTGTTTATATTACATATGTCTAGCGGACTGAACTGAAGTGTATATATTACATATGTCTAGCCAACTGAACTGAAGTGTTTATATTACATATGTCTAGCCTACTGAACTGAAGTGTTTATATTACATATGTCTAGCCTACTGAACTGAAGTGTTTATATTACATGTGCCTAGCCTACTGAACTGAAGTGTTTATATTACATATGTTTAGCCTACTGAACTGAAGTGTTTATATTACATATGTCTAGCCGACTGAACTGAAGTGTTTATATTACATATGTCTAGCCGACTGAACTGAAGTGTTTATATTACATATGTCTAGCCGACTGAACTAAAGTGTTTATATTACATGTGTCTAGCCAACTGAACTGAAACAGTTTATAAGGTGATTAAGTTTCATATGCACTTCAATTCTAAAAGTAAAGAAAAGTTTTAACTAATAAACGTCTCGCAGTTGATTATACAAATGATTAAATTAAAATAGCTTGGCTATAACTAATGGAATTTACATACACAAAATTGATTTTTTACTCATGTATTATTCTTTAATTAAATTTAAAACATATCTCTCTGTAATTCTTTCCAGTTTTGCATTCCGTTACAACCCTGCTCTTCAGCCCCGAGCTCTTATTGTGTTTGGTTGTATCAGTAAGACAATAACGGATCAAGAAATCAAACAGCTCCTAAGGATATTGGTGAAGGCCTTGGAGTCCTTTCAAGACTTGCAGCTTATTGATGCAATTATTATGTCTTTAACAAGACTTCAACCACTCTTACGTCAAGTAATTAGTTATTAGGTTTTTTGATGTGAGTGTATCAAGAAATGGTTGTTTGATTTTGGACAGTATTAACTATGAAAAACTATTAATTTTGTTATATATGTCTCAAAAGTTAAAATTTCACCAAATATTCAAAGTAAGTGGGCTTTGTCAATGAAAATAGATTAAGTCCAAGATTTTGTTGTTTTCTTCCAATGAATTTAAAATGTTAAAACTCATGTTTTAAATATTTGATTCTTGTGAATGAAAAATCTGTTTGTTGAAATTTTTATTCTAAATATTTTTCTGAAATTAAAAAACAATATTATTTATTTCAAAAATATATTCAATGCTAATTTGAAAAATTATTGGTTAATGAAAATGATAATTGTCCTCCCAAATTGTCACTTCATAAAACAAAATTTTAGACCTACTTTTCAAATTTCTTTATTTTCTCAGAAACAAAGTTCGCCTTCTGGAGAATGAACTTGAAATTATTCAACTATCATTTATTCATAAGACTTCTCAAGTCACATTTTTGCTTTATTAAAACAGCTTTTAAAAATATATAAAATGACCACAGTGCGAACTGTTTACTAAAAACTTACTTGCCACTGAAATTTGGTTTTAGTTTGTTTTATCACTAATTAAAATTGAACTTTTTCTGATAGGAATTTAATTATACAAGGTAGTACCTCTAGTTAATTATTAAACACCCTCATCTTTTACTTTAACACTGGCCAAACACACCTGTAATGAATTAAAGGAATTGAGTGATAAAATGCTCATGGATTTAAGTTCACCCACATACAGCTTTCATAGCAAAGAACTGTATGAAAAATAGATTTGTTAAAAAAATCTTAACATTTAAGTTGTATTTAGGAAATTTTTTCTAGTTTTATTATATTTTTGTTTTTATTGGTATTGGTTAGTCTATTTAATGTGGTGTGCAAACATCTGTTGGTTTTCTAAGCTGTACTAAGAGAGTAAAAGCATTTTAATGTCAATAGTTAATAGGTACATAGTCGAAAAAATGCTCTCATAAATAACTTTAGTAATATTTAATTTGAAAATAGGAAACTTTTATAATGCTAAAAAGTAATGAGGTAAAAACATCAGTAACTAAGTATGCTGTTTTTGGAGGGGTACCTGTATGTAGTTCATGATTGTCTGTGGAGATAATGCTTAGAATAGGTTTGTTGATAAAGATAACATGAAACTGCATCAAATAAATAAGTAAATATTGAAAAATATGAAATAAAAAGAACTAACTAGTCTTACCAACTATGAGTATTTAGCCATCTTTGGCAAAGAGTATGCTATACAAGAAATGAGCCTTAATAGGAAACCATAGATTTACCAGATGGATGCATTAGCATCTTGGATTTACACTGCTGTGAATTTTTCACAACAGGATAAGGCAACAGTATAACACAAAGTAAACATTGTAGTCAAATTAGCATTCAGGGACTCTAAAACAAAAGTAGTATTGAAGGTTTTCTTCAACAGAGTTATGTTATTTTTATTATTTAACTTTGATTCTAATATAGTAAAAAATATATAGAGAGAAATCTTTAGCCCTTTTAAAGTGAGTTCTAACAGGTAAGCCAAGTATTTCTGTAGTAAAATAAATAAATTTATAGATCCTTAGCCATTTTAAAGTGAATTCTAACAGGTGAGCCAGGTACTGCATAGTGCTTAATGTGCCCAGACTGTTCACATCATATTGCCACAGAATGTGCTCTGCACTTTGGGGCTGTGTGTGATGTAAAAATAACAGTTAAATCCCACTATTCGATTAGAGTGGCCAAAAAGTTGGTGTTGGGTGCTGCTAACTGGCTGCCTTCCCTATTGTCAATCAGCTTAAGTTTAAGACAGTTGTGCACAGATAAACATTGCGTAGTTGTGCACAAAAATGATAAAAAAAAATCTAACATGTACAGGTCTTTTATAATTTATATTGAACACATGCTTTTTAGCTTCCAGTTTAACAGAGTAAAAGTACATGAGAACAGGCAAGTGAGATTTAATAGAGATTTGGTAGTTCATTCATTGTTTAACACTATCAGTTATCACATGAATGACATTTATTCCGAAATGATACCATCTACTCTCACCCAAAACTACCTCAACCTTGATTTTCCCTCTAATCATTGTTAAAATTTGGAACAGTGCACCAGTCTTTTATACCCCTTTATTTTTGCATCATTGAAGCAACATGTGCTGATCATGTGATTACCCTTCACCAATCATACTGCACCACCTATAATAGTGCAGATAGTTCCCTCTAATATTGCAGCACAATCCTTACTTTCTGAATTGGCACTACAGTGTAAAGACATGTGTTTACTTTGTTCTTCAGGTGACTCCTGCTCTTTCCTGTGTGGTTACTTGCCAGTTTCAAAGTTTTGAGTTAACAGTTATTTTCAACGTTTCATTTATGTTTATTTTTGACAGTTTCTTATTTATTGTGGAAGTCAAAGTTGACTTATGAATTCGAATTTTACTGTGGCGGATGAGGAAGTTCTCACTAATATGGAAGATAGTAATGTCACTAGTCCCCCAGATTGACGATGTCCGCTGAGGAAGTTCAAGCTTTAATTTGCAGGGAGTTGGATGCTTTTGCTAGATTTTTGGTCCATTCTCCTTTTCCCAGGAACATGCTTTTGAGGAAGATTTTCATCAGGGTGAAGACAGTTTAGATTATGTTTTTTTGGCCAGTCACATAATGCTGACAGTCAGAAGAGTTTGCCAACCTCACCTTTACTACATTGAACAACTATATCAAATTTTACATGTTTCACCTTTACCCCTTGATTATTATTATTCTTTGCTAAGTAACGATCCTCATTTTGATTATTAGGTTTTTCTGGCCTCAACCCAACATTCTTGTTCATTTTCAATGTTAGTGGGTATGCTCCATCCTCCTCAATTGTTGGAACAGTATTCTTTCGCTGACCAACATGCCTCGTTTCCCTATTTGGATTTACGTCTAGATCCTCTCCTTCCCTTGTGGGCTCAAATCCTGAAACTTTGATTCATTTTAATATGTCCCAGTTTTCTAGGATTTGCCTTACTTTGACCACCCTTTTCCGTATTGTTTCTTCATTGCAGTTGTTGTCTCAAGCCTTCTGCTAGTCTCCTGATCAATTTCCGGCAGAGCTCAGGACCCTTCTGTGTCTTACCATGGCTAATTTGTCAGCTTTGGTGGTGTCTCTCACCACCTGGATCCAGGTGTTGGGATTTGCTGGGGAGAGATACATTACTTTTGGGGGGGTGTCTTCCCCTTTCTTCTATGAGTTATCTTTGTAAATCCCTGTATTTTCATGAAACGGTCTTTGGTGGTCATCCCGAGTCTTTGGAGTGCAGGGTGGATGTGACAAGGCTACATTCCTCTTTGTCCTCCCTGAGCTCCCGTTTGTCTCGTCCTGCTGTTTCTGCCCAATCTTTACTACTCCTGGCGTTCCCATTCATACCCTTGTTCTTCCTGTTTCTACAGATGTCAGCATTATCGGTGATGAGATTTACTCTCAAGGACAGGTGGGGGCCGATTTCCAACCATCTGGGGACTCTTCACGACAGATCCGTGGGTTTTACAGGTTCTGTCAGAGGGTCTTTCCCATTTTCCTTTCCTCCTTCTCAGGATTATGCCTCATCTGATCTCTCCCTTCAGTGGATTTTTCCTCGGGTCTTTGGATGACCCAGTTCAATGTGACAGATGCTTATATTCATATTCCCATCACTCTGGAGTCACACCGTTATCTTTGGTTCATCCACGGGGGGTATCTTTCAGTTCCAGGCAGTACCGTTTGGTCTTGCTTCAGCTCTTTATGTGTTCTGTTGAGTTGTCCTCTCTTTTGCATGTCATCTTCAAATATTGGGTCTTCAGACTCATCATTACATGGATGGCTGGCTACTGCTCACCTCCTCTCAGACCCAACCTGTCTCTCTCACCCGCTTCTTTATTTGGGAGTCTGCTCTGGTGTGGTTTCTTATCAAGTTGGTTAAGTTTTTTCTAACCCCCACACAATATCTTATTCATTTCAGGATTCCTTTCAATTCTTATCTCAGTCGGGCCCACTTGCTGTCGGTCTCCGCCCTATGTGTTTTACTGTCTTCTTTACTGGGCAAAGATCATGCCTGTTCCAGAAGTAGTGCTGTACCCCACAGGTGTGCCTCCTTTTATAATTGTGGCACACCTGTTCTTTCATGGCAGTTGTTCTCTGCTAGTTGGATTGTTTTTGAGCCTTCTCTGTCCCCTCCACCTTTGCAATGTGGGATTCTAGCTTTGGATGAGGGGAGGTAGTTCCATTTTGGAAGTTAACATTTTCTAACACTGAAAATGTATTTCCAATAGGTGCTTACCTCTTCCTGCCGTTCCTCCCCACTAATTTGCCGGTGTTTCTGGTTTGTATCTGCCAACTCTCGAAAGGGAGGATTGTGCTGCAATGGTAGAGGGAGCTACCTGCACTAGTATAGGTGATGCAGTATGATTGGTGGACGGTAATCACGTGATCAGCAAATGTTGCTGCAATGATGCAAAAATGAAGGTGTATAAAAGACTGGTGCACTATTCAAAGTTTTGAAAATGCTTAGAGGGCAAATCAAGGTCAAGATAACTTTGGGTGAGGGAGGTAAGTACCTATCGGAAATACATTTTCAGTGTGAGAAAATGTCAACTATAGTCAACTATTGAAATAATGTGCTGTGAAACAAAGTAAAAAAGATAAAGCAAATTTATTTGTATAATGTGAGGTACATGTAAACGTGACTGTTAGACTGGGAAATGTACTGTTTGAGAATTAGAATTAGTAGAAAGAATAATAGTTTTTTATTGATTTAATGTTACTTTTCTGTATCATTATCTAGTAAATCAAACAATTTCAGTGCAGTGCATCTTTGATTTTTGTTTTATTGAACCACAAACATTTTAAAAGGTTTAAAAAATATACAACTTTTGACATATATTATGAAGTATTAATGTATCAAATCTGTTCAAAAACAAATAATCTAATCATAAACGTTATTATAAACTGTTAAAACTGCATTATCAATAACTATATTGATCGTGTTTTCTTCCTCAAGCTAAAAGTTGGTATTATTAGTATTTGGTATTTCATTTTATAAACTTTTTGTTTCCCATTGTATCATCAGGTACTCGTTTAAATATCTTTTTCTAATTATTATTCTGATCTCTCAGTTATCATCAGGTTCTGGTTTTAATTTTAATACTTTTACATTCTGGTGTTTCTAGGAATCACCTATTCACCGAGCACTATTCTGGGTTGCGATTTCAGTTCTTCAACTAGACGAAGTAACACTTTATGCTTCAGGACTTGCTTTACTAGAGCAAAATCTCCATACTTTAGACTCCCAGGGGATCTTTGAAAATCAAGTAATTAAATAAATTACTCTTAATTGAATAATCATTATTATGAATTGTTGCATTTTTTTGATCTAGAAAACTTATTTCATCAACAGCATACTTGTTAAGTAACTAAAATTAACTTTCTAGGTGATCCTTCTTCACATTTTTTTACAAATTTTATTTCAGAACTAATATTTGGTTTACAAAAAAAAGTTATGATACACGTACAGTGATGGATGAAATGTAAGCAATGTGTAGTGGCATTGAATCTCTTGGTTGCAACTGTCAGGAGGCTTAGGATAGACAATATTTTGAATAGTGGCATTGGATCTCCTGGTTGCAGCTCTCTGCAGGTTTAGAACATACAATGTTTTGAACTGCTTTAGGAACTGAAAGAGGTCACATAATATATATTGGAATGATATCCATTCCAGGGAAGTGTAAATCTAAGAAATTGAGAATTATGAGAAAATTCAACCCATAAAAGTTCAATAATGCATGAAAATGATCTATAATGCCAAGTAGGTTAAATCCATAGATTCTAGGAAGATACAATCCATAAAATCATATAGTGACAGAGAGCTTACACCAGCATGAAATTGTAGGAAGAAATCCATGACCCCATAGGGTTGCAGAGCATAGAAATTCAAAATATAGCAATATAAAGCAATTAGAAATCCATAATTCTAGAGGAATATTATTAGTATTCCAGAATTCTGCAGAGATACAACATTAAGAAGTTCAGAATTCCATGGAGATATAACCCATAGAGTCCAGAATTCCAGAAGATACAGTCCTTATTCACATGGAAATATAGTTTATAGAAGGATTAGGACTAGCATGTGCATTGGAACATCTCTGAATTACATGCTATATGCACAAGATAATTGTGTTTCATGATTATTAAATACATTTATCATAATTATGTTGTGTAACTGTTTATAACTGCAAATTGATCAATATGTGCATATCATAATTTAATTTTTAAAATTTTCATATGAGTAACTATGTCAGTATTTATCCACTGGTTCTGCAAACCTTAGAATGAGGATATGGAAGACGGTGATTTATTGAGCTTTGTGCTTCATTTCTTTGAGCTGTCTTTTATCATTTAGTTTTACTTAATTTGGAACTGAAGCAGACAGTTCTGTAATAAAAGTTATAATGAATTCTGGATGTTTCATTGCACATTATAAGAATATAGATTTAAGATAACATTCTTCATAGTATTAAAAGATTAAAATCTGAAACACTACATCTATGAGTACTACCCAGAATCTTATATTGTATGATTATATATAGAGATACTGTAAAGACAGATAAAAATGGAGGATGTACTATAACAAAGCTTTCAGATAAATTTCTTAAGAGTGTTGAAGTGACAGTTGTGGTTAGCATCAATGTCATAGTTATAGTCAAATTCCAGTATACTTTAATAATCTAAACTCTGAATGTGTTTGAATTGTAGAGATAAAACCATACAAAAAAGTACAAGTTTTAGTTCTTGATCAGACATGACTCGTAGATAAAGGACTAATAATCTGTGGGTATGAATTGATGTAGAAGAAATGATTTTTTGGAGTAGAAATCATTTATTTTTGATCATCCCAAGGTATCCAGTTATATTAAATCCTGATTAATGTGATCAATGTTTTCCAAGTCTGGTATCCACAATTCCTCATCATTTTATATACAAAACGTTTTTCTCTTGTTCAGTCACATATCGTGTCAAACTTTTAATAAAGACAGACATGTATTTCAAGTTTTTAAGTGTAGAAACCAGTTGTTAATCTTACTAGTTTAAATATGTATTCTGCTTTACAGGCTGTAAAAAAATAGGATACTTTATTTCATTTCCATTTTCAGACTTTGGAACAAATCATGATGTCAACCAGAGAACCCTTGGAGTGGCATTTTAAACAGCTGGATCATTCTGTTGGCCTTAGCTTCAAAAATAACTTCCATTTTGCCCTTGTTGGGCATTTAATTAAAGGTATATTGAAAGTATTGTAGTTCTTGTTTTGTTTTTTAAGCTTGACATTTTTTATGTTCAGTAGAATGTTTTTTAGTGTCTGCCAATGCTGTTGAATTTTTCAAATATTTTTAATTTCTCAATTTTTCTGGTTCAAACTTTTATGAATATATTAAATGTTAATTAAACATAAAACCTGATAACCCTCTTTGGTTGTCATGTTTCTCGCATTTAATCGACATTTTCTAAACTACTGCCAGGAATATTTTTTATTTATAATAGTTGTTTTTTAAATCTGTTATGTTGAATGGGATGCAAAAACAGGAAAAATAACATTAAAAAGCTGTCTATAAATATGAATTTTTTTACCTAATACTATTGAAACTTGTAGTACGGGCATGATGTTTGTAATAGATCTGTCTTAATTTTCATTTTTATCCTTAGGTTTTCGACATCCAACACCAACTACAGTGTCTAGAACTACAAGAATACTGAACATGTTATTAGGTATCATTGCTAAACCTCATAAAAGGTATGATTAAAGTGTTTTTCAGACTTAAACAAAAAACTGAAACGGAAGTAAGGTTTCAGACATAGGCTTTGTGTCATTGACGCTTATGTATTATAATGATATATATTGAGTACCTACAAAAGTGAAGTTGGTCCACATCTTCCTGCTGTGACATTACAACAGCTTAAAGATACAAAATCAGGAGGCAAGTAATAAGGTTTCCTCACACACTACAGAAGGTTGTGTATGTTCTATTAAAACTATTCAAAATATACAAATTAGTAAGTCACATGACAACCACAATCAATATAAAGCTGTGATGGAACAGAATGTATCAGAACTGAATTTTGGCATTCTTTGGTGTTTCTTAGGTAGTATGATGCCATTGAAAACTGATCAATTTTGGTAAGGGTATGTAGCAACTCTTGCCATCACAAAATATTCATATACTAAGATTATAATGATGTGTTCATATTGGTAATTTAGAATTTCTAGGGCAGAGATATCACCTGTACATAGCAGCATTGGAAAACAGATATATAAATCAACTTGAGACACCAGGATCATCCAAAAATAGACCTACAACAAGATGTACCCCAGACATGGTAAGCAAAGTATGGTGTCTCGTAACAGGTTAAAATCTATGAACACACAAATGTCAGTGGCAAAAGCCTTCCATGTGTTGTTCCAGGCAACAATACCCAACATATTTAAGAAGTATCTCCATCTGGAAAAGCATCACAAGCTGCTTCTACAACACAGGTGCTAGGAAACAGTTATTCTCATACACTAGAAGCTTTTTGGGAAGCATTTTGGGAGTAATGATTAGTTTTTGACATGACAGCCTTAGAACGAAACCTTTTGCGATGGAAACTATTCTCAAGATGCAAAATTGTAAAATAGAGCATCATTCCACAGTCAGCTCAGGTAGTTGGATTTTCCAGTTGGACAAGTTCTTCCTGTTACATACATCACATTTTAGTCTCTTTGGGGTGTGTATTTTTAAACACCCTCTCCATTGGGACCATCCATTCTCCATCTCAAATGCATTTGAAGGTGTTTTGTGTTATCCAAGCTTTTACTTTGGGGTTCTCCTCTTAATTTTCATCCTTCCCTCTTCGTCAATATGCATTGAGAGCGGAACATTTCCTCCATGACTTCAGGTTTACTGCTTCCTCCTCCTCTTCTGGATTGTTTCTCTTCCCTGATGCTCGTCTAAAAAAGTAAAGATTGTGGTTCTATCAGTAGGAGACTTCAGGATAATGGTCTACAGTCGAAAGGTCTGATCCCATTCACACACGGGCACTTCCGCCAGTCCAAGGTGCTTTATTTCACACTCTTCTTCTTGTCTGGTTTGACTTCTTCTATTTCAGTTCAACTTTGATGGCTTGCCAAGGGGACACTCCTTCTTGTTCCCTTTGATTTCCTTTTTTTGAACCCACACACTTGACATATGTCTCATCAAGGGCCATGTTCCAGGTGCTTTGACCTCATTGGTAATTGACTTTCCAGTCCATACAAAATTTCTCCCAAGGAGTGACCTCTCAATCCTCCTAATTTTTGGTGGCTCTGTCTCCTGTGAGGTACTCTTCTGTTGAATCCATTTCCCATGTTTCCTCCCCTTACTCCACTTTTTTGTCTGTGATTTTTTCCCTTCCTCCCTTACCCATTGGGTTTGTTTTGTGATTCAGTTGGCCTTGTCTCTTTCTTTCCATCATTATTTCCTGGTGTCTTCAATTTGATCATGCACCTTCCCTTTTCCCTGCATGTCTACCCTGCTGTTCATTGGAGGTACTTCGTATGTAGAGCACTTGGTCTACATCTCATGCATTCATCTCCCATTGTCTACTTTGAGTAGCAGTTTCTTTCTTCTTGAGGTACCATTATTCACCTGTTGCCATCCTTCACTCTTTCTTCAGACTGTGTTGGGTAAGTTTCCTTTTAGTATATGTAATTCCTCTTTTTCTTTCTGGATCCCACTCTGTGGTGAGTGGTGCTTGACCAGGTATTCTTTAACTGTTAAAATCCACTCTTTAAGATCATGTTGACTTACATATTATGATTCCATGGCCATGCAATGCCTACTGAGGAGATATAGTGTTCCACAAGATCACTTGAAGGCTTATCCTCATGATAGGTTTACTTCATACGTTTGCCTGTTTCGGACCGTACTCACCCATGGACTACATCGGTAAAGCAGAAGGGGATAGGTCCCATCCTTGCCATGCCTTATATTGAATAAATCAGTATGGTCTGCTTCAGGTGTTGTCATTCAGTTGAGAATAGGGCAGTGGTGTTCTGCTAGTGTAGATGACAAGATATCATCCACTATGTAACATAGGAGTGAGCCGTCAAAATTGCAGTTCACCCCTTTAAATGGGATCTCTCATTTTACCCCCACATGGATATTGGTTCCCAGTAGCTTGGTTTTGGATTTAGAGCTGAACCAATCAACAAATGTTCTCACACATGTACCACAGATGTCTCTATTCCCTCACTCATTTATACTCTTGTTACTCTATCCATATTGTTGGTCACGGTGGAGGTACTTTCAGACTACTACAGTTCTTCCCCTTCCACTATCCCTCAATGCTTATTATTCTGAGGATGTTACTGTGCTTGGGGAGGTTCTGGTCATTATATATTTGAGTGAGATGACTTACATTACACAGACATATTTTTGATGCTGGATGTGGGGTTCCCAGATCAATCATTCAATTTCTTGAAGGCCAGGAGTATGAGATTTTCTCCAGTCTCGTGAACTTGAGATGAAAACAGTATGATCCTTTTTTCTACCCCTACTTGGATGTTGCTTCCCATGGCCTGGGTTTTGGATTGTAATCGACTCGCCACCAATATGATCCTTTTTCCTGCCCTCACATGGATGTCAGTACCAGGTGACCAGGTTTTAGATTGTAGTTGACTTACCAATGGTATGATCCTCATTCTATCCCCATGTACATGACAGTTTCCAGTGGCATGAGTTTTGGATGTAGTTGACTTGCCATGTACGGTCTATCGGGCCCTAGCCACTCTACACGTAGGGCACATCCTTTAATCTTACCCACTTTTTATTTTCTGGGATTGAGTTTAATAAATATAAATAATTTATGATTTGGAGCACTATCCTGCTATAGATCTCTCTCATTTAGATGTGCTTCTCTATCTTTCCACCCATGTATGCAAATTCTTTCCACAATGGACAAAGAATATACCTGTTTCAGAAATGGTGCAGTTTCCCACATATGATCTTCGACTCCGAAGATCTCCTTCTGGGGAGTGTCCTTTGGACACTTTCAAAGAATTCTTCTTTCTTTCCCTCCACCTAATCAATGTGGGATTCTAGCTATTTATGTGAGTGGAGGTTACGCACCGTATTGAAAATTATAGTTTTCCTATACTTAAAATGTATTTCCGATAGGTAATTACCTTCCCCTCACACTTCCTCCCCACTGAATGTGAAAGTTGGCAGAAACAAATAAAACGTTTTTGTAATGAAGTAAAAAGTTCCATAACCTCGTAGAAATATGAAATAATTCTACTTCGGAATAACTCAACAAGTTACAAATATCAATTTTGTATAATAAAAAGCAAACTTGTTGAGAGAAATTAATACAACGATACGGAAAAAAATTAAAATAAAACACCTGAAGAGAGCACAAACTAAATGTTATGATGTGAGTACTGCCAAACGAGAAGTGATAGTTCAGTAGAATTGAATAGGGGGAGTCACATGCGTGAAGTGTGTCACTCTCTTATTGTTGGAGGTTTGTCGCATGATAATTTGCATGCGAGACACATTGGAATTGGTCAATTCCATATGAGTGGGAGTTTCAAGGCTTGTGGCATGCGGAAAACATTTTTTGCATATAGAGGGCAGCACTGAACAATAATAGCTATTAATATGAGTAAAAACATACTAAACTAATTTGTTTTGTCACTATCATTTACACATACTAAACAATCTGCCAAAAATATGTTTATAAGAAAAAAAGGTTAACAGTCCTTATGATAAAAAGTTAATATTTCAATCAAACATACTGTTTTTATATGTTGAAAATAAGTGACACGTATACCAGTCATACAAAAGTAGGAACTCAGCATGATATCTGGAATACAACATTTTTCAAAGTGACATATGTACAAGTCATACAAAAGTGGGAACTCAAAATGAAGTCTGGAATACAACATTTTTCAAAGTGACATATGTACAAGTCATACAAAAGTAGGAACTCAGCATGATATCTGGAATACAAAACATCCTCAAGTAGTACAAACACCAGTCATACGAAAATGGGAACTCAAAATGAGATGTGGAATACAACACCTTTCAAAGTGACATATGTACAAGTCATAGAAAAGTAAGAACTCGGTACAAGTTAAGGAATGAAAGATGTCTGCAAGTGACACATGTACCAGTTATATGAAAGTGGAAACCTTGATATTATTACAACACCTTTCAAAGTGACATATGTACAAGTCATAGAAAAGTAAGAACTCGGTACAAGTTAAGGAATGAAAGATGTCTGCAAGTGACA